GAAGTTTGGGGAAGAAAGTCTAATCCTTTGATTCTAATCTGTTTTGGAGGGCAGTAAAACATGCTTTTATCCATGTGGTTGTCTGATACGGACTCAACTTCTTGCTCATAATCCAACTTTTCCTCTCTGAAAACCAAAACCTTAAATAAGCTTTTGACCTCAAACCACATGAAAGCCAGGGTGTAAAAAAATCACATTAAAAAAAAATAAGTGTATAAACAGGCAAAGGATGCTGTGCATTTTGAATGGAATGAGCACAAGGTTCTCATGAACAGCTGGGAGATTTTAGTGCCATGATGGACAGAGTGCACTCAAAAGGCAAACCTGGTTCTTTGGTTATTTCCTTAGGGGTTTTTTTGATTCCTTTTTCAAGGTCACAGCTTTGCAGTCAGTGGGGAACTGCTAGTGAGGGAGAAGACAGAGAAGACAGTTTACCTGCTTTTTGCTTAGTGATTAAGCTTAATGATAGGCATTTTATTGTTTGATTTAATGGGTTTTTTATTTATTTTATTTATAAAGATGAGTAGGTTTAAAGGAGATAACACAATGTTTAAGATTGTTTGTTGAAATATGAATACTTTCACATAAAGAAGGGTAGTGCAGGAATACAGGCAGCCATGTAACACACAGGCAGCATTGCTCAAACTGGTGAGTTTCTTAAGGAAACTGAGGTACCCAAATCCATTATCTGATGTTCTTGATTCTAGTTCTTTAGCAAGACTCCTGCTGCCCAGAAACACTGCTAGTAGGGCTTTGCTGTGCTAAACCACACTAAACCTGTGGTTTGTCTGCTGCCTTCTTGAAGCTACAAGCCAGAAGTTTTATTTTTCTAGACTCTCATGTTTCATTGCTCAAATATTAGAGTTGTTGTTAAAGCGTGGTTTATTAAAGGTTCACATAATTGAATGGCTTTAAAGTACAGCCACAGCATGAATAATTATATCCTGTGCAATTACAGAAGTCAGGAATTTAAGATTAAATAGCCATTTCAAAAAATGTTTAACTATACTGTAATTTCCTCTGTAAATTAATAAAATGGAGAGGATTTTTTTTCAGAAAACTCCCTGACCTTACAGTAGTAACCTGAATAAGAAGCTTGGAATCCAAAAAAGAAATAAAATGCTTGTTTTCTGAAGTTAATTTTGTCACTTAGTAAATCTTATGGCTGTGCTCCTTCCGTTTCAGAACCATTGTGGCACTGGTGTACAATGTGCTGAAAACCCTGATGGAAATGAATGGCAAGCTCTTTGATGAACTCACAAGCTCGTACAAAGCAGAAAGGCAAAGGTACTGAGCCTTTTTCCAAGTTCCCACCAAGGAATATGTCCAAGCTGTAATTTTGGCCAGTGCTTTGCTGTTGTGGGGCTCTGTAGTGGAGCTGTTTGGTGCTGGGTGTCCCGTGAGTGAGGCAGTGCCTGGCAGTGCCATGGGAGAGCTGAGCCCAGGGAGGGGACAGGAGGGCCCCAGCTCCCCTCCTGCCTGGGCAGGGGATATGCTCCCTCCTGGGTGGGTCTCAGCTGCTGCTGGCTGTGCTGCCTCAGGTGTCTGAAGAGAATGGAGCTGGAGAACTCTTCATAGCTCAGCAGAACCAGCGCTTACCCTAATAACCTACTAATCAGCACTGCTGGAGTCAGGGAGGCAGGGCACAGGGGACCCTTGGACAGCTGAGACCACTGCCAAGCCTCCTTGTGGCAGCTGTGTTCTTCCCTCTAAGATTCTCAGTCCCTTAATTTGCGTACATGTGATAAGAAGCCTCCTTAAAACAGCAGCCAGCTGTGCAAAGCCACTCTACAGCAACTGTCTGCATTTGCTGGAGCAAAGGTACAGTTTCAGCACTCACCATTACTTGTTATGCTCTCTTTTTAATTGAGGAAACTGTAATTGCCTCTAAAAATAGCTTTGGAAAAACTTTGAAGTGGAATTAGTAGATGCTAGTCACAGTTAAGTTACTGTGTCTCCAGACCGTGCTTAAAACACATCTGAAATTGATCTTTCACTCTTTCCTTCAGAGAGAAAAAGAAAGAATTGGAACGTGAAGAGTTGTGGAGAAGGTTGGAGGAGTTAAAGCTTAAGAAGGCGATGGCAGAAAAGCAGAACACCACTCACAACGTGCTCAATGCACACAATACAAGTGCCAAATAAAAGAAATGACCACCTCTACTCGGCAGACATTCTTTTTTTGTACCCTTTTGAAATATATAAGGATTTGCAAAAGAAACCTCAGTATAATAGAAACAGCCAAATTTTTTCTCTGGCAAGTGTAAAGATTTGAATTTAAATACAGCAGTTAAGTGATGTCATTACCACAACATATTGTAAATTTGTCTAATTATTGATATACTGTCACTTCCAGTGTTTCATAGAACTGAGTTATCATCCTTAATGAGTGAAATAATTACGGGAGTGGTGAGAATTATGACTTGAATTTTTGATTGTGTTGCACATAGGTGGTATAGTTTGCTACGTACACATTTTTCCTTGTTTTATATGTGCTTTTCACATTGCTGCATACTTTGGTTAAGATGATAGAAAAGGCTTCTAGTTGTGCTGTATTTTCTCAAATAAAACCAAGGTACGTTACCAGTAACTTGAGATATTCAGTATATGCCCCTTACAGCATTGAAATGAACTTGGATACAGAGCTTTCCTTGAATTCCTGATTGGATTCAGATTTAGATTTATACAATGCTCACATTAGAAAGGAGGCAGGGTAGGGAAAGAATCACCTGCAACAGGTTGGGGTGGCCAGGGCCTCTACCCCATTTCTGCTGCCTCTTGGGTCCTGGGCTAGGGAGGGGTTTCCTCCTGCTACAGCTGAGGATGGAGCTTCCTCGGGAGAGCCCATCAATGATGCTCCTCATCAGCCCAAGGACCCTCCAGAGTGGTGCAGTCTCCAAGAGAGACCCATCTTGGATGTTTCTGCATTAGTTTTAGCATTTCATGGACTGAAGAATGAGACCAAAATTGGCATTACTATTTTTTTTTTTTTTTAGTAAGGTGGGAAGAATGTCAAGAAATTATTCCTTGTTTTCTTTAAAGAAAATGCAGTCTGTTTTCTAAAGGTGGAAAGTTGACAATAGAAGTCTTGTCTGTTTACTTGATCAAGTATTTTTTTTTCACATCTTTTATCAGAGTACCATTCCAATCTCTTAAATTGCAGTTGTGTGGAAAAATTTTGTAATGAAAGATCTTTGGGGAATTGAGCAGCATTCAATAAAGTCTTTATGTTTGTATTTAGTGCTGTACCTCACATCTTTGTGTTTCTGAAGACCAGTAGAATTAGAAGGGCTGTTACAAACAACTTTTTAGCTGTCCAGTGTGGCTTTCCACTGAGTGGCAAAAGTGGGGAAGTCCCTGCCACACTGTTTGAGTCAACTGTATTATACTTAATTTGTTGCTTCATTTTTGTGTCTAAGTAGTTGTTTCACAGAGGGTATGGGACTAGCACTGCCTGAAGGGAAAGGACAATCACACAAGCACAGCTCACCTTGGTATAGTGCTTTAGTGCCTTGTTGCCCTTAGAAAAATAAAGTTCCCAGTGTGCGACAAAATTTGTTCATCTGTCCTAGAGCCTAAATGAAAATAACTTACACAAATAGGGAATCAAACACCTTGCAGGGGTTCAAGGAATAAATCACTGCCATTTGTAATTGTTTACGAGTTTCTCCCAAGGTTACACATAGGGACATCAGGCTTAAGTAATAGAAAAAAAACAACACAGGAGCCGTAAGATAGCCTTCCAAATTGTGCAACACTTGCTGTCAGGATCACTCCTATAAATAGGTATGCAAAAGAAAGGTTTCTTGGCTGGGATCGCTGGTCTGCTCTTGTAACATTTCCTTATAAAACAAAACATCTTGACAGCTGAGATGTAGTGACTGAAGTGGACTGCTGTGGGAGTTTATTGAGGGGAAAAAATAGTACATACTGCAAAAAGGAGTTTTATCCTTTATTTAACTATGCTTTCTACTCACCCCACAGCTGCAGCTACGTTGTCTTCCAGCTTACCTTCTCTGACCTTATTAGCAAATAAAAAAGAAAAAATGCAGTAGGATCCATCAGAACCTATTACAATTGTTTCTTCCTCCACCCCCTGCCTAGTTTCTGTCCTGTTCCCCACCACCCAGAGATGGAGTAGCCTTCTTTGCTTCAACCATGCAGTGTTTGCCCTTTGCTGGTTTTGTTCAGTTTAATCTGAATCCCTTGCTGTGCACTAGGCTGAGCTGCTCAGGAGCCATCCTTGTGAGATACTGAAGACAAGGTGGGGACTGGACACCACCTTTCTCCCATACAAACATCTTTGTCCCCTGAGTAAACATTTTCCCCCAAACAGCCAGTGCTGCTATTTTATTTATCTTAAGGCAATGAGTTGTTGCTCCCTTGTTTGAGGCTGTCTGGTCAATGCAGTGCCTTAATTTGCTCTGGAAGCCAGGTGACAGTGGAAATTTTGTCCCAAAAGGCTTCCTCAGATGCCAAAACCAAGGAAGGACGGTGAGGGGGTATTTTTGATACACTTACTCCTCTGAGTACCCTGCTGGAAGAGGAAGGAAGAAGCAAACTCTGAGTTGGCGTCCTTGCAGCAAAGCCTTCAGAGCAAACACACAGTGGTGCCCTGCTCCCTGTAGACTCCACACATCCAAGTCAGGCATCTCAACTAACAAGGGACTTACAAGGAAGAAAAAGACACCAGCACCCCAGCACAGCTGGTGAGCAGGCATTCCCCACAGAACAGAATCACAGTTCCATGCCCTGCTGATGAAAGACTATTTTTCACTTCCTTAGGAAAGACCGCCAGAAAGAGGGATAAACAATAGCCTGAGACAGACTTTGAGATCAGCCACCAGCTCAGCCCCCCACGCTGTCCTGTTGCTTGAGTTTCCTTTGAGCTGGACCGATCTGTGATTTACACCTTATCCTCATGCCACAGCACTCCTGACTCCGGTAAAGCTCCTTCCCAACCTGAGAGCAGGTAGTTTCAATGAAGGCACACCATAGATTATTTAAAGTATTTTTTAATATTAAAGTCATTGTACTTTGATTTAAAGATGACATGAAATAGAATTCCAGTGTATTTTGTTTTAAAATATACTTTGGAGAAGAGAGGCCAGGGTGTTTTCAGAGCACTTTACCTTCCACTAAGCACCATCAAGGCAGTGACTGTGCTATGGGAGCAGCTCACAGCTGATGCAGAAACTAAAGAATCTGTTGGAGAAACATTCAAATACCGTCCACTTTTTCACAATTTACTACAGTTATGACTTTCTGAACATCAGTGAGTTCCCACCTTTCCCCCTGGTTCCCCCATACACAGAGGTAAACTTGTTAAACTTGGACTAGAAAAGTGTGAGTTTGTTAGACCTGTCCTAGAGTTAGCTCCTTCTGCACTTCCAAGGCTAGTTCACTAGCCTGTTCCTCCAGTCAGCATCTCTGGAAGAAAACATACCTGGTTTTCAGCTTTAATTGCTGATTGCAGTTTATTCCAGTTATTTTCTATCTCTCCTGCTATGAACAGTTAAAAGGCAGTCTTAGTCTCAGCTTATGTGGTTTGTTACTTGACGAGTCCTCTTCAGATGCCTTCTTCGGATTTTGATCATCCACTTAACACTTAACTTGGCAAAGTCTGCTGCCTTAAACAGGGCCAGAAAGATACCACAAAGAAGAGCAATCATGTTCCAGGGATTTGCTGTGATAATCTGAAAGAGATGACAAATATTAGTTGCCTCATCTGATTCCACATACGTAGAGAGGAGTGAGAGCTGTGGGAATAGGACTGGGCTCTAAAGGCCAAGGAGGTGCCTGGGCTAGGATACCAGGAGTGCAAAGGACTAACTCCTGTCCCACGCAGTCTGCATTCACTCTCTGGTTTTGGGCAAGAAAACACCAACACTCTAGATTTTGCTGCTGATTTTATTCTAATGAATTTATTATAATAATGGATTTAAAAAATATACTAGGCTATTTTTATCATTCTTATTTCAGCCTAGGTTTCTTGTCAATTAAAAAAAAGAAGTCATTAAATCAAATTATCCAGCAGACTTACTAAAGCACAAATTTTAGCCCTGCCCTGAAGCTACCCTTTGCTAGAACAGAGGGACAGGCGCTTTTCTTAGCTTCATGGTACCTCTAGCTGCAAGCAGAATGCTGAGTGTCACCAGCCCAAAGAACTTCCACACAGAATGCATTACTGGACATAAGGAAGAGCCTACACTGAAATTTCAGAAGTATCCTCACTCTTCTCCGCATTTCTTCTTGGGGTGAGGTGATAGAGGCACGTGTACGCACACACCCAGCACGAGCACGCACAGTCAGACAGTGATTCAAGAGGGGACAAGCGGGTTACTCACGTCCTGAACAGTCTGTATGAAAGGATCTTTCCATTCAAACACCACAAAGAACAGCTGGTCACTCCTTGGTTTAGTTCTCTGGTCAATGTAGTTAACCACACTGGTCTGGGGAGAGGGAGAGAAAAGTGCAGGTTACTTTCTTCAGCGGTACAATGAGTCTTTTGTGCAACAGAAAAGGCCTGTAAGAAGGTGAAAATACCAGACTATTTAGGGACTTCCACTGCAGCCTTTCTCTACCTAGAGCAATGGGCTGCCAAAATATGTCCTCCCTCTGTCTCATTATTTCCCTATTTCTCACTCAGTATCACACTACAATACCATTTCTACATTGCCTCTCAAGAGGGGACAATTTATTTCCAAAATTCATTTACTTACAGCAATAAAACATTTGGAAAGTTCTCATGAATGAATGTTAAATTTATTTGCCAGAGAACCACATAATGGTGGCAGGAAGATTCCTTCTTTTCCAAAAATGGATTGTAGAATAAACTAGAACATTCCAGCAAGTGCAGAATTAACATGGAAGGAAAGAAGCCCAGGTATTAACAACCAAACCCATACTTCCCAGTACTGCCCATTAACTAGGTCACCACTCGGAACTAATGCTGCCCAGCAGAGAGCTGTAACACAATTCCAACAGGGAACTGGGTTAGGATACCACACTGTGTTACAGCCACATGAAGCCAGAGTCTCAAGAACCACAACCAGGAAAATATGAAGACATCAGGCCCAGGAAAACACTTGTACTGTACCACCTGCCCCCAGCCTAGGGGGGAACTACACAGGGTTTGTACACAGGCAGTAACCAACACAGTTGGAACTGCCCCCTGCTCCGAGGACACAACACAAACTGCCAAGAGCCACACAGGGACCTCAGGGAAGCACAGTGGTAGAAGGACATCTCCCTTCTCCAAGCCTCAAAGGAGTGTTTACATCTTGGTGCGTGCAGAGGGGAGTACTGCGGCTCGTCCTGTTTAATGCTGTACTGGGAGCAATGAATCCAGCAGCACTGTGACTTTGCATCAGAGTTGTGACACGAAGATGGAAGAGATGATGGAAGAGCATGCCTTTTCTATGTTTTGTGAGCCCAGTTTTCCAGGCAGAGTTGGAAGTCTCTAAGCAGACCACTCTCTTCATCTCCTTACAACCCTTCCCATGGCATGAGGGATGACCTGCCACAAAAGCCTGCAATCTGCCCTGGTGCAGTCTCTCTACAAATACCTCAGGGTTTCTTTCAGTCTTCTCCATAGCCCCAGCCCTGAAGAGATTTTAAGATGCAGGCAAGACGAAGCAGGAGACAGAACACTGTTCATGGCTACTCAGAGCATATGGAGCTTCCCCAGCTTGTGGTTTCTGGTCAAACACCTTTGCTGCAGACTTGCCTGTGAGGATTTGTGAGGAGTTTTGAATGAACCAGAGATAGGACCTGTGAGCTGCTTTAGATGATGCAATTTATTTTCCTTATCTTCTACAGGCAGGAAGGGTGAGTTCAGCTCACATCTTTACCCCATGGTTCAGAAGGTCACAAGACCTCTTGTTGCAAGACCTTTATTAACCAATAAAACACTGCCAACAAGGATTGTTTTACACCCAATCCTTAAATATTTCGTCTTATGGACTCATACTACAGTGTAAGCTTTCTTAGCCAATCATGTTATGACATACAAACCTACAGTACTGTACCCTAAAACTCTAAACCTTCCTCTACTTCGCTTAACATGTCTCTGCTCTAAACTATAAATCTACATTCTTGCTTCTAACATTTAAGTTTGGAAGCCTTTTCAAAGGTCTCTGATCAAATCCAGTGTTTAATTTAAGCTTTGGCTTACCGGCCCAAAGTTTTGAGAATTCCCTGTATTTTGGATTCCAACACTTGCCCCACACTTCCACAGCTGATTTCCTTATTGCAGAGTACCAGTGCCCCAACCACACTCATCCAAGAAAACTGCACACCAGGAAACAAACAAGGCAAACAAGGCAAAACAAAGGCAATGGGAAAGGAAGAAAATACAAATTAATGACTGCTGGGCTAGTTAGCAGAGTGAGTGACTGTTCTGTTTGACCTAGTATTTGTATTCATCTTTCCAGTATGACAGCTCCCAGGTTTGGATTTGAAAGCCTAATGGACTTCCTGGTGCAATTTGAGCAGATGTTGTACTGTCAAACAAAGCAAGTACAAATTATGTCTGAGCTGTTTCAATTTCTGCTGTATTATTAATAGGGATCTGATTCCTGGTTCCTAGGTTTTATTAAAAACAAACAAACAAACAAACCCACAAAACAAACAGAAAACCCAAACCAGCAACAGTGCTCACTTACTCAGATGATCAGTCCATAACTGCTGAACTAAATAGACGTTTATGGTCACAAAAAGCTCTTTTTTCCCTGAATTTGAGCCAGCCTTTTGTTTCCACTTTGAGACACATTAGACTTGGGCACACAAAGGAAGACTTTCAAAAATGGTAAGCACCAAATGGCAAATGATACAGAGCTGTAGGTGCTGAAGGACAGACAGGCAGCTCCTGTCAGTGCTTACATGGCAGCAGCAGACTGATGCATTCTTTCCTCTCCTCCAGACCAAGGTATTAACGTGGGACTTGCATGACTCCGGGATTTGCCTCTTCTCTAGTGGAGTAGGAGTGTACCCCCCTCACAGTCTGGACTTCCCTTAAGGCTGTGCCATGTAACACCTAAGAGTTAGAACTAAGGATAGAACTGAAGATTCTGCTTCATTTTGCTCTCCCCAGAACACTCCTTCCAAGAGTACCAAGGACCAAGAGAAAGTATCATCTCTGAAAGAGACACCCTCTGGAAAGGACAGCTCTTAAAATTTTAATAAACAAACACTGGTGAGACACTTCTGGTGAGACACTTCCTTTCCAACCAACACTGGAAGCAAAACAAACTCAAAACATAATTATTTTCCCATGCATTAATGTGAACAGAACAGGAATGCAAGTCAGGCTCATTTCCTCTCTAGATAAGCTTGCATCTTCCACCTGCATATTTTCTAGTTTTAAATGATGCAATAAGTTACTTCATGTTTCTAAGGACACTCAACAGCTAAAATTCCAAACCCAAACAAAAAAACAGACATAAGAATGCTACAAAGGATACAAGGCTTACATTTACCTCTTCATCCTAACATCAGTGGCAACCTAAACAACACCTTTCCAACAGTAGCTGTTACTTAGACAATTCCTTTGGCAACTGCTCTCCACCTTGAACTGTAGGTAGCTGTGCTAATATTTCTGTGTCAGTCTCTTGGGACCCTTACCTCAGACTACAGCTGTCATAACCCAAGTGAGGCCTGGATTTCTGGCCTCCCTGTTAGGAGATGCTTTCCTGAGCTCTGTCACGAGGCCACACCAACAGCTGAGCACATCAAGACATTTACACTTCTACAGAATCCCTCCTTCTTGAGAAACAGTGTGAGCAGCCAGAGCCAAAATTGCTCAGTGCAGAGTGGCATCATGGATGCAATGAAATAAAAACCAAACTCCCAAAACGTGAGTACTACTTTTCTTTTTTTTTTTTTTTACCTCTTGTTTGAATTCAACAGTCTCACTACCATCTTCTTCTTTTGTTTTGACCAAGGACATCTTGACCCAAGTTCGGAAGCCTCCAGAAAACTTCCAGCTGGAGTATGAGCTTTCACAGTCCTTCATGAATTTTGCTTTTTCTGAACTAAAGGAAAAAAAAAAGCATTACTTTATTGACCAAATCAAGCACTGTAGTCAGGAGAAGGTCAGACCAAGGCTCTTCATCTTCAAGCTATGTTCACAATTCCTTTTATTCTCCATCTACTGAACTCAACATATTTAAAACATTGTGTGTAGTGATGCTTTCATTAATGGTAGCACTTCACTGGTGCATCCTTAACTGCAGAGGACTTACCTGGTGCCCCACAACCCTGGAGCTCTGCCTGCCTGTAGGGATTGTTCTGCCCCACAGGGAGTTTAGCTCTGCTCACCAGCCACCTCTGGGACAGAAAGGAGCAGAGCCAGGACCTCAGGAAACAACTCATCACCATGTTAGGAAGCAAGAGACAGCAGGAAGAGCCAAGAGGAAGGACAGGATACTTCACCTCATTTCTGGTTGCCAAATAAACCAGTTACAATGCATACATGCTTAAAATGCCTCGAAATTGACATTCAGTATAATCCTATTATTTTAGAAGAACTGTAGCTTTGGCGTGAGGCTCCCACCTGCAAAAACTGTTATCCCAATGGGCAATAACTGTTATCCCAATGGGCAATCACAGCTATCTGCAGCCCCCAGAACGCAGGATTGCTTTGTGTGTTTTGGTTGGAGTTTTGCTTTTTAATACTGCAACTGTAAATCTTTAAGGCTTCCAACACTCCTCATGCTGCAAGTAGTAAAGGGGTAGCTTGAAGGCATTTCTGGTCTCCATTTCTTCTCTACCAGCTGCACAGGACATAGCGAATTAACCATGCTATTTACTTGGAGCTTTTCAGTACTGTGATTTTAGCCACTTTCATGTCATCCCTGTGAAATAAGCCCAGCCCTGCAGCTGCTTCTCCAATAAGGTTTCATTTGAGAAGAAGGGGTAAACCACTCTGAGAAGTCAGGAATCATTAAAGGCTATTTTTACTAAGACAGATTTCAGGTTGTAGAGCTATGCCAGGGTATGTTGGTCCTTAAAAGAAGGGAGAGGGTTTTGATCCAGACTAAATCCATCTACATAGGAGAAGGGAGAGAGTGTTCTTTGCTTTTGTGGCAGAGGGTGTGCATAACCAGGTCTTTTAGGAGATGAAGGTGTTTTCCTTCATCTTTCCTTTTGTCTTCCAGAGAAAAATGCGAAGAAGTAAAGGAGGAAAGCAGAGGTGAAGAAGCAAGCTCTTGTTCCAGAACAGGCCAGTCAGGAAGATTTGTCCAGCACTGACCGGATTTGCACTTTTCCTGTATTTTTTTCTTAGTTTTCAAACTCAGGGCTTCTTTTCTTTCTACAAACCAAGTTGCCTTGTCTACAAGGACCACAGGGACTGCACTGATTAAATATCAAATTGATGGCTACTCTGTACCACAGCACCTGCTCAGGCTTAATAGATGAATACACACATGTCCATGGGAGGGCAAAACCCAGCAAAGCCATTCTCTCAAGTCAGGGCTTCAGGCAATGGACTCAGAATTCCACTGTGCACATGCATAGAAAAGAGAAGGGGTTTCTGGAAAGAAAAACTAACACGCTTTGCTACCTATCCAGGCACATGCTGTTCCCAGGATGTCCTAGGAAGTTAGGAATATCTTTACTTTGACATAAGGTGCTTGTTTAGTGACCCCAATAGGATGGCACCTCTCTGCCTCCCACAGGAAAGATGTGGGCAGAGCCTAAGGACAAAGCCCATGGCCTGCCTGCCCCTCACCAGAGCAAACCAGCGACACAGGAATCCAACAACTGCTTCCCCTCCTGGGATGTGGGCAGAGCAGCAGCTGAGGGGACAGCACAGGGGAGCCCTGGAGTGCTTTGCCACTGAAGAGGAACATACATAATTAGCATCTGCCAGCCAGTCATATGCCTAATGGCTGGCTAAATACAGCAACATAGAAAAGCTTTCCAAGCCAACATGGAAAAATGAGGCAGGAAGTTATGAGACAGAGCTGAACGTTACAGCCACAACTTCTATGGTAGGCAGACAGCAGCAGTATGCTTTGCCTTTGACAGTAATTGCAGGCTGGAAAAAGAAGGATTAATAATATCTTAGGAGAAACTGTGGAGAAGTGATCTGAGAGGTATCTCCATAATCCAGACCACTGCCACAGAGTGAGGGGAAAAAAAGGGGGGTGGACAGGAGGAGCACAGCAGAGAGGCACAAGCTTTGCACAAATTATAGCAGAGGGCAAATAACACAGCTTTAAAACCACACACAACAAAGTGAACACAAGACAGGAAAGGAATTTTAAGCCGAAAAACAGTTCTCCAGAGAGTTTCTTTTAATTCCCTCTTCCCACCAAAGACAGACAACCCACACAGGCTACACCTCTTTTTTTTTTTTTTTTTTTTTTTTGTTGCTGCTTGGGGTTTTTTTTCTCTTTTATCTGTGGGAGTCACTAACCTATTTCTGGATTGGGCTGTAGTGCTGCAGTGGATCCCTTACCACCAGTGTCTATGGACCACCCCACGAGAGCCAGAGAACTTCAGGACATCCCACCAGCAGATTCCAATGCAACAGCAAGAGCCAAACCCACTGATGGTTCAAGTCCAATGTGTTTACTGCTTTTGTGTTTCCCCAGAGCAGGAAACTCTCAAACAGCCATGGCATCTAATAAAGGCTGGTGTTGGTACCAAAAGCCTCAATCCTTCTATGTTGTATTTCTCTGCATGCAGCAATCCAGACTAGAGACATGAACATGGGGCTCTGTTTAGACCCTGAAATCATCTCTGATCTGTTCAAACTGGTATCCATCATTGCACAGGACCGTAAGTTATTTGACATGCTACACTAACAACAGTTTTGTCAGGAATACATTCAGGATTTTCTTCTAAATCCCATGTATTATCCTAATGAGAGTTCAGGAGAGGAACTTGCATTTTTAGCCACACATATGGGGTAATTTGCAAGGGTTTCATGATTTCCCTCCCTCCAATTAATACAGTACAGACAGCAGCTGCCACTACCTTAAAAAAAAGAAAAAGAAAAAGAAGCCAGCAGCATCTCCCTCCAGCTCAGAGGCCAACAACAGCACACAGTGCAGCAGTGTTCTGTGGAGACCAGAACAAAACCAGTGAGCAGTGCCAGTTTCATGGAGTCTGATCCAATTTTAACAGAAGGGCTGCAGAGAATAAAGCCCTTGACAGAAACAACTGGAACTTGCCTGAGTCCTCAGCACTTACTACACCACAAAAAATCTCTTAAAGCTACAAGTCTTTAGATGCCATTTTTTTCTTGCTTGTGCACCTCTGATAACACTGTACATGAACTGCTGGGCACAGTGTTATTCTGGGCTCTCATAACCAGTGAGACACTTTGTCAGGAAAAGTAGTTAACAGAGGCCAGTAATGGAAGTTTTCAGAGGCTGTATGGAAGGACACAGTTTCTACAGATATCTTAAGCCAGACTTCCCATCAGCTAAATTTAGCATCTGCTGATGAACAAGAAATCTATTTTCTCTTCTGCTGGAAGCTGGACAGAATGAGTGCTCTCCACATACACAGTGCAGGTTCACATTCACTTTTCATAGTCAGGAGAAATGTAAACTTCCAACCTGCCCTCAGCCCAGCCAGTTCAGGCCAGGACAGCAAACACAGCACTGAGCAAGACAAGCCACACCATTTGCATCAAGTTTGGGAGGATGCTGCAGAAAAGACACCACTGGTCTCTTGCCCACAGCTGGTTCTTTTCCTGTATTCCATCTAGACATGCAGATCATTTACCACTGAGGCCTTCTTTCCCTTGCCAATGTTACCATTCACCTGGGTTAGTTCAAAACCAGTTTTAACTCCTATTCCTACTACCTGCCTCAAGCAAGCACAAAGGATGCATCCCCAAACAAACACCCCCCTTTCCCATGTGGCTTCCAAGGCCTGAGGATGCACAGACTGAGCCGTTCATGCTGTCCCCAGCCAGCTGCACCAGGGCACTGCAGTGGTCTCAGGCAGTGCTGGTGCCTGGCAGTGCAGAAAGAGATGAGCACTTTGCTGCAAGGGGTCCCACTGTAAGCATTTCTTACCAGAGCACAAGCCATAAAACCAGAAAAAAAAATCATAAGGAACAAGCAGCATCTTCTACACCACTGCTCTTAACTGGTGTTCTCCCATCCTAAAATATCAATGCCTAAAACACCCAGAACATTAGCATTTTATGAGGTGTTTCAGTACAGTTACAGAAAACAGTTAAAGACTTAGGATGTCTTAACTGAAGCAGAAATGCTTTATAAAAGGAAAATCCAACTAACTGGTCTTTGGCCACCCAGAGATATCATGTCTGAACAGTTCCAGACTTTGATCCACCTGAAAAGCTTCAGTATGACCATGTCAAAGCCTCTGAGAAGGCCTTGCTACAATAAAATCTGTTCTCTTCCCTCCCTCACCTAATTTTGTTCTGCACAGGTCCTCTATCCCCTGTCCCTTTTTCACTGAGCATCCATTATCAAATTAAGGATTTCTATCAGGTGTAACTATGACTAATATTTCTTTATTAACTTTTAATCTGGATCTCAGAGAGAAGAACGGAACTTGAATTTAAATTAAAGAAAAATTAAACCATTAAGCATGAAATTTACTTTCAAAAGGTGGAAAAAAGAGCAGGTCTTTCAAGAAAGTTCAAAACAGGATTAATTCCATTCTTGTTAAAATTAGAAGGTTGATTAGCTACTCCAATGATACCAATGCCAAACCAATACAAAAATACAATTTTGAAAACCCCATATATGAATTTACATAATTCTGTAGAATCTTAAATAAAGCCAGCAATACAAAGAAACAGAGTTAATCTTTCAATGAAATCACAACAAAGCAATCTAGGGATCTGACCTTTACAGCAATTGCTTTTAAAACCCCCAAATGGTACAGAAATGTTTGTGTTCTTGGTGCACTTCCTGACACACTACCCAGGACAGCACACTTCCTGATCACCCACAGCAGCAGACAGCAGGAAGCCAGCACAAACCCCAGGCTTTTAGAAAGTGCAGCAACAAATGGTTTAAGAACAGTTTTTGTCACTGAAAAAGCCCTCAAGATATTCTTTAAAGGTGAGATTAGTAAACAAAGACATGAAAGAGCACCAACATACTCCAAACATTTTAAAAAATCATAAAAGCCTGCCTGATTTTCACTGAAAAAGCCCTGCTTCCACAAGTATTGTGACAGCAAGTTCAACGCAGCCACAGGCTCATCCCCCCTTTACATACCTGCTGATGAACTCTTGGAAAGAAGAAAACAGCAGGTAGTCAATGGCACTAAAATCTTGGTCTGTCTCATTTAAATGGAACTGCAAAAACACCAGCTCCCTTTTCTTCACATCACGAGGGCCTTGAACAACCAAAGCATACTTCTGTAAGCAAACAGAGATGGTGAGAGGAGCAAAGGAATCCTCATTTCCTGTTCATTAATTTGTCATCTGGCACTAATACTCTAGAAATCTAACACACACAGAGTTTCTTGGCTGCTACTAAGTGCACATCTATTAAAACAGCTAACAAGAATGCCACTTCAGTCCCTCCTTTTAGTTTAAAAAGGAGGTCTTTACATCAAGATTCAGTGTTTAAATATTAATATTTAAGTACTAAATACGGTAATTTGTGGGTTTTGGACATTTGTTTATCAAGAAGCAAGATTCCCTGCACTTCTAAGGGCAATTTAAGACAGACTATCACTCCTCAATGTACCCATCTTGCTGGCTCAAAGCATTTCAGTGTAATGAAGCACTTGGTGCCCATTTAAGATTCTTCCAAGTGTGACAAACATGGTATATAATTCCCAGCAGGAATTCATGTATGAATTCCCAGCAAACATAAAAAAAGAGATTAGCTATCCTCCTTTAATGGATACTGATACTGCCTTCAATCAAAGCTAGGTTTACCATATCAAGGAAAATGCTTCCCAATTCATTTAGGAGAAGAATGAAGTGAGAGGTTCACTGTGAAAAATGACTTATTTTATGCCGTTAAGGGTTTTGTGCTGCACACACCCACAGGAGAGCTGATCTTCCATAACACATATATACACTGACTGGGGTCTTTTACATTTCTGAAAACAAAACGACAGATGGCTTACAAAAAATCCAAACCATCCAAAAGCAAGGATTTTTTTACAGCATGTAGTACATACATTTACTTTCCAGCGCGATTATGACCAGAAACCCCACACTGAACAAGCTGTGTTCTATGATATTGTTATTACCATAGTTTGATTAGTAAAAGGATCTGTGTAGTTGATCCTCTGAGTGGTGCATTCAATGTCTCCTGGCTGACCTGGATTTATCAGAGGTGGAATGTGATCGTAGTAATGATGTTTGCAGCTAAGCAGCCGAGCCTTGCCTGGGTAAAAGGCAATACCTGTTTGGGGAGAAAAAACATGGAGAGCACTGATTTCCTTCCTGAGGACATAGATTTTCATTCTGGAATGTAATCCCACAGGATACTGAGCTATCTTTAAGATGCCACAAAACAATCAAATTAAACCGCGCACTTCCACATTTTTCTGGAGCAGGACAAAAACACCAACTGCATCAGGACAGAACCCCCACAATGCACTGAAAAAAATCAGGGCTCATATTCTGTTACAACAGTTCAAGGTTCATAGAAGCTACTGAGTTTCCCAGAAGCCAGCAGCTAATCCATCAGTCCCTCTCAATCCCAGATAACCTGTAAAATATGTTAGGGAGCATCAAATGGGACATGTAGTGCTTTAGTTTTCAGATATTAGCATTTAACACACCAAGTGTTAATTGGAAATAATGCACATACCATACATGACAGATCAAAGATCACTGGCTGAGCAAATAGAAGTGAAAAGATGCTCTTCGGAATACAGCATCTTCTGTTAACTGAATGTGACATCATCATAAAAATCAAAGCCATCAAACATGCACTAACTCCTACCATCTCTTATTATTTACAGCACTGGGTAGGGCAGGCAACTACTCCACCTGGATGGAAACCCACATATGCCATAAACCTCCTGTTTCAGCCCAACAGCACGTTCAAGCAAACTCAGCCACCTCAGCTTTGGAAAGCTAGCAAAATACAAGAGCCAAACCTCAAAATTTATTTATTTATTACTGCCATAATTATTACTGGAAACAAGTTTGTTGGAAGATAACCTAGTCCAACTTTAAAAAAAAAAAAAAAAAGAAAAAAAAAAAAAGGTGTATGATTGATTAGATATAATTAACTCACAACTGAGATGACCTGCCCACCAAAATGTGAGATGTCAAAGTACTCAGCATATATTAAACACTTTATTCCTTTCTTCAGAGCTCCATGCTTGCAACTTGCCATCTCATCATTTTAATAGGGCAATAAAATAAAAGACTACATTGATTTAGGTTCTCTGATCTGCAGGGATTTCCAATAATACTTTTGGATTTATATGTATCCTGCTCTGCTTATTTAAAATCTGCTTATTTTCTTCCTGTTGCTGGATGAAAAGCTCACATGGGAAAAAAAAAGGAAAAAAAAAAAGGAAAAATAAAAAAGGGGGGAAAAGCTTGGTTTGCTTACTCTTAAAAGTCAGATTCATATGGTCCAAACATAAAGCACTACTTCCAGAGCTAGGCTAACTGGCCATAGAGAAAAACAACTACAGTAATATGGCAACAACTCAAAACACCTTTCAGCCACAACTACTGAAGTGGGTATTTGGAAAATGTGGTGACACTTCTAACAGAAGTATTATTGTTAAACTGGAAACTCACTGATGACTGACTGGGCTGCATTTGCTACCATGGCTCTACTTATGAATGGCTACTGGACAATTAAAAAAAATAATAACAACAGAACTCACTATTCAAAAATGCCCCTGTGGAGCAACTCCTCCTGCAAACTGCAAGAGTTTCTGCTGCCATGCTGCATTTTTGTGCCAACATTGTTCCCTGCAGTCACATCATATTTTCATTGCCTTGCCTACTGACGTAATGCCATGCTGTAAACAAGGCAGGGTGGAAGTAGAAAGTGGCATTGTGGTTATTTTGTGGTTGGTTTGAGAAATTCACCTTCTTTACTGTGAATGGCATCTCATTGCCCAGCGCACCACTGAGCTCCTGATACACATCCTATGTGTTACTCTGTTTGAATGATACAGTTTGGGGAATGTTTCCAAAAGGATTTAACTTTCTCCCCTAAAAGAGGACTTATTTTAGAGTCTGAAAACTCTTCTTATCTATGAAATGTTGCATAACTCTCCACAGCTTCTGACATTCATTTTATTGGCATGAAAGCTCCCAAAAATCTCCCATACAACGTTAACATTTCTGTGCAAAGCCAATACAACTTTTTAATCTAAAGTGAGGAAATTAAAGACCAGGGTTAAGTATTATATGCACTCTGGGCTCTGAAGAATGAACACCAAAAATTTAAAACAATCCATGAAAAACATGAACAAGAATTTAACCCATTTTACTTGTTACCACTCTTACCAGGTGCATCATATAAGGACACTTCCTTGTAAGTGACAGACATCACTGGGTGCTTGAGCTTCTCCCTGAAGTCACTGATGGTTTGGTAGACAAGGAATACAGCTACAGCCATGAGCAGCAGATAAATAAACAGGAGTATTACTGAAAAAACATTCTTTAAGCAGGTCTTGCTGAAATGCAAAGAAGGGGTAGTGGTACCCAGCTCACCATCTAGAAACAAACAGAACATGGATTGGGACTTCAACATACAGATATTTTTGCTAAATTTTCATTTAAAGATCAATCATGTGAGAGAAAAGTAAGCCTCAAACTCAGCTTGATTAAAAAAACCACAGCTAATTCTAGTTTTGATGATCAGCTACGCAGATACTTCTCAAGTACGAGGTGTAATCGACCTAAGATTGTGCCTCCTTTTTGCATGCCAGAATTTGGCTGTAAACTTCTGCTTAAGGCCACTACAGGCAGGAAACAAGGTTTGTATTCAAGGACAACTGAGAAACAAAGTTTGAAGTTCACAAGAAAGTCTGTTGATGGTTACTCTTTGCTTCTGGAAAAAAAACCCAACTCATTTCCGCCCTTTTCCAGTCTGAAGTGATTCTTACACACGCAGCATAGACATCAGTGGAGTTATTTAATATTCCAATGCTCATGGCCAACTGTATGCATTGCATCTCTACCATGGTAGAAGTCACTCGATATTTGTTACCCTCTAGTTCATAATTCCTTGTGCATGTTAAAAACTTTCATAGAAGGATTCTTTCAATTACAGATAGAAAGAGACTGACCCAACTCTCCCAGAGTCTCCTTTCCTTCAAATCTTGTTCTCTTTAGGTCTTCACAGTAGTCTCACCCACACACAGACACTGCTTTACCCATACCCCTTGCATTTGCCCTTTCTTTTGGCAATACTTCGAAGGAAATGGTTCCTGTACTCTTGAGTTACACATCATGTTTTGCCATGATATACAGCTGAACACACAAAATTTTGTATCAAAACTCAACATAAGAAAGAAGATAAGCAGCCATACTTCCTGCTGACTGTTCTGTGTGGTGTCATTTAATGAGTCAGGCCCTCTCAGGCCACGCCACACGCTGCTCTCCAACTCTACAGTTTGGTGTTTGTGCCTTCCCACGGCAAACAGGAGCCTTTTAGCGAACCCTACTGCACACATAACCACCCACAAATGTCTGTGGGCAAGTTACATGCCAGGAAATGGCAGCCAAGGCAATTAGGACATAATATTGTGCACAATTATGCATTAATATGCATAAAATTGCACTGCTGAAACAAATATGTCTTGAACAGCTGCAAGGCCATGCTCCTTTCAGGCTGGCTAACCTCAGAGCCCACACCTGAGCTGCAAAAAGCCCATTCAACACTGCTCCATGCCCTCCAAAAGCAGCCTGAACAAGGATCTATTCTAACTAAGAATCTGTTTCAAAGCATCTATTCAATATTGCATCTTGCTTATGTAAATCTGGCACAGACTCTGCCTGCAACCCACTGCCACTCAGGTGAGACACAACATCAAGGAAGATGACATCCTAAGCTATCTCAGAGTCAGATGTGCTGAACCTGTTTTGATTGTTTCTTTGTCAGGAGCTGTGCTCATTCTCCTATTTGTCCTTGGAAAACCCACTTGGCTTTCCATCAGTACTGATTCACAAAAAATAAGTAAATGAAATTAGTAGTGAAATTAGTGTTTTGTTTACTTTCAGAAGTGTAATAAAATAGCAAAACCAAAACAACCAAAGCCACGCACTGCAGTAGCTAACAGGCCCTAAAAATCAGTACATTTGGGGTCAATAGTTCTCACCTGGTAAAATAACAGAGCTGGAATCTTCATGAACTTCCATATCTCCTTCTCTTTCCTCTGCTGGATTTTCAGATACGCGCTCCACATCTTCACTCAGCTGTGTAGTTAAAACAGTGGTTCAATTTCCAAACATGTTCTCAACTTGCAACTGTTGGAATTTCTATGGTACAAATAAAAGAGGCTCCAACTAACCTAACGCACAAAAACACAACCCCTGTCCAAGAGCACCCAACATCTGTTCCATTTGTTCACAAGACAAAAGCCACAGCCCTGTAGACTTAGAGCCACATATTAAGTGACTTGCATGCTACAAATTTAACCTACTTCTACCCTGCTGCTTCAACAATAATATCACCTTTCCATTCAAGTTCAAAGTAATTATTTCCCTAACAGCTCCAACACACTTTAACCCCGCAATTAGGACAGCATTCTCTGACAAGCAGGAACTTCATTCTGTCACTGAAGAATATATTTTTAGGCATAAAGAAACCACAGCACATAGCAGCAAACAGAGCATTAGCACTTCTTAATAAAGAGGTACAAAAAGCACGAGACGCATTTTGACAGGTGTTAATGCAAGGCACTGAAATACAGTCTCAGCCAGAGGTGGCTGGGTCATTATGAGACAACAGTCAAGCATCTCTGCATTTCTGGTCCTTATTTGATCTCACTTGCAGATTATTATATATTAGTGGTTACGCAATTAATTAGTCTTCCAGTGTTTCTGAAACACCAACAGCGACCAGATGTTTTCTTGTTTTGCTGTTCAGAGCTCTGGGTTTAAACTGCCAGGCCACTTCTGTCAGAGTCAGAAGCTCGTCACAGCAGATATGCATCACACGACATTGTGAAGCACTACAGATTTAATACATTATAACTAGAAAGTATCTCTTGTATGTTTGGCAAGCTTTCTTTCATGGGGGAACTGACACAGAGATTATTACAACACTATCCAAGGCACGAGCTTGCAGCACATCACATTAGCCTTGTTCCTGTTTCAAGGAAAACAGGGGCACAGTTAATGCTGCAGCAGCACTGAATGCTATTAAACACTACACCCCTAACTTACACAACAGAAATGTGAATGTATCCATCAGGGAGTGCTTTCATTTCACCAATTCAGTACTGAAATCATCATTATGCCATTACCAGATCATCATTAGCACCTAGTAGGAAAGAGTCCACTCATTTTATGTGTTCAAAGTCTGACGTAAAGTCTCCTTCACCTCCTGCTGTATTTCTGTATTCATTGTGCAAAGAAAGATGAAAGCAGTTACCCAGCTGTTTTTAAATGCTTAGTACATAAATAAAGCATGATTTCCCACAGCATGAGGCAAGAAGTGAAGAGGTAACTTGTAGTCTAAAAACTCAGCTCACATGCAAGACTCTTACTGGGGTCCAACTGAAGATACCTTTTTCAATTACCACCATAAAAGAAGGAAAAATTAAAACTCTGCTCCTTTTTGTAGAAACATGCTGGTTCTGTTTATCTGACCCACTGAACCTCTTGTACTAGTTACACTAAATCAGCTAAGAAAACAGTTCAAATCATACTCGTGCAAATTGCTGATACCAGAGCTGGTCCAACAAAGGTAATGTAAGTTACAAAGTCACTGCAGTTCCTCAGCTGACTCCCACACCTCTCTGATTCCCCAGCTACAGGCACCTCATTGACTGAGGTTACTGGGAAGGTAAGTGAATTCTATTCCTGATGGCAAGGAGATCTCAACATAAGTTTAAAAAAGAACAAAATAAGCAATATTTCCTATCCTCTCAAGAGGAACTAGAGCAATTTTTTTCAACAAGTGGAAGAAAAATCATCTTAGAGGTAATTCACAATCTAAATGATTCTGCGGTAAACTCAAAAAACAAAACCTTTCAGCACTCCTCAGAAACAAACCAAAAAATCCCAAACAATATGCAACTATGTTTTCTTATCTCTGTTCACAATGCTTTACAAGCTTTTCACAGACAAAGCCAGAGAAGGACAGCCAGGCAAGAGCGGGACTACTGACAGTGCTTCAGATGCAGTAAGCACGTTGAGCTGATGTGTAAGACCCACTCCCTAAAAACAGCTATTTTACTGCAGATCCTGAGCATCTGAACTGAGGTCACCAAGATCCCAGCGCTGTACATGGCTCAGCCACTGTGTTCTGAGCAGCACACAGACCTACAAACCCAACACCTCACACGCACACACCCTCCTACAGCCTCCCAGGAACTGGGAAGCCAGCACAGCATTACGGCAGGACAGCTTTGTAGTGGACAGTTCACACTTGCCACTCCCCTTGGATTCAGGGATTCTGCCAACAGCAAACCTGGAGCACGCCAGCCAGGTTCACCCTCACAGGCCAGCCCTTCCCATGTGGTGTTTTTGATAAAGGGATGAAGTGTGGTGCCAATCAGAAGGAACACAGATTGCAGGGTGGTTGAGTTTGCAGTAGGATGCAGAGACAGCACAGGATGTCAAGGGTAGGAAGGGCATGAAGCAGAACTTCACTCAGCGTTCCTCTGGGTTCAGCACATACAGCTGAGGGAGAAACAACCGCAGGAACCTGCCCGTGTCCCAGCAGCTCTTTTTCAGTCCTGTACACAGAAAAGCACTAGACAAAAAGAAGCTCAGAAAAGGCAGACATTTGAGCATTCCTGCCAGGGGCAGAAGCAACAAAGACTGCTGCAGGTGCTGGAGAAGGAATGGACACACAGGTGCTACACTTACACACACACCCTATCTTGACTCCTGCCACAGTTTGGGATGAACCCAAAGACATGGGGAGCAGTGTCAGTGGTGGATGATACTTAAGGTGAAAACATGACATGCATCACCTATGTCCATACTTCAGGCATCAGTGTAGGTTCATTAACTCTCACAAGTACCTCCCCTAGGTACAAGCACACAAGTCAACTCCATATTGATAGTCACAGGCTAAAACCTTCCTACTGGATAAAACTCCCTTAAATAAAAGGAGAACTTGTTCATACAGGCCTTTTGCTGATCCGCTGATTCATCACCTTCCAATGCCTTCTAGCCTGGCAAGAAAACCAGAAGCTGAAACTAAACAGACTGTACCACACTAAATTAGAATGTATTAAGACTGAACCTCAAACTACCCGTCACATGTAGAGGAAGGAAGATACCTACATTCCTTCTGCCCGTAAGATACAAACAAAAGTGCTCTGCTGTAACTCTCCACCGCTGCTGAACTTGGCACAAATTGCTTGTGCGTCTACTAGGAGAGATAGGAACGAGCAAGGAAGCCGGGCTGCTGAGCCTGTACATTGATATGCAAACCAGGCGCTGCCTCGGGCTTTTGGCAGCGTGATAAAGCGTCCTTCAGTTTCGGATGCGGGAGCTCTGCTACCCAAGGCGCTGCTCACACCCGACAGACTATCCCCTTGCCACCAAACCCCTGCCACAGAGTCCAGCCGTACGCACCTCACACACCTGAAACCGCCGCTGCCCACTATTTTAACCCCGATCAAAGATAAAGCGCGGAGCCGAGCGCACCCGAGCCAGCCGGCGCTGTCCGCAGGGCGCAGCTGCCGCCGCACGCCCCGGCAGCCAGCGCCGAGCCGAGCTCACGGCGACACGCCGCTGTCCCTGCTCGCCGAGCGCCGGACCGGGCACCAGCGCCCGCCGAGCGCCCGCAGCCCTGCCGGCGCCCCGTACCTCCTGGTAGGATGCGGACACCTCTGGCTTTGGCATAGCATCGGCGGGAACGGCGCCGCGGGGCCGGGCAGAGCCCGCCGGCACCGCACGGGGCGGAGCAGCCACGG